GTGTAGACTTACGATCCTAACTCAGTTGATCCTCTATATCATCGTGGTCAAATCTTGAATAGAAGGGTCTTGCATTGCTTTGAACACATGTTGTACACTGGACTCATAAAATACAATTTTTGCACGTGTTGTCTTTGCGCTTGATCAGATTGACAAGAATAGAGGATTAGTTTCTGATGAGATCGTCCAAACACATGCAGTCTACGTATTTCTAAGGAGCATCTCAATTTTTGGTTTAATGCAATGGCCTTGAGGGGTATTCAAAGTCACATTATTAGGGTATGTTTGGACCAGATTAAAATCTGATTTTAATCTGAGTCAAAGTCAAATAATCAATATTAACCACATCTTTCATGGATTTCACGTTTTTTCAACCACACACTTCAAAAACTTCTATCACAATCCACTTAAAATCTAATTTTAATCCCCACCAAACTCCCTCTTAATTTTCTCCTCGTTGGAAGAGTTTCCATGTGAAATCACGAATTTTGCCAAATTGTGTTCTTCAGTCCCTTGATTTTCCATCTATTGCATGTTGGTTCCTAGAATTTCCAATATCTACAATGTAGTCCCTGCATTTTGTTAATTCTGGACACTTTCTCTAAACTATGATGACCAAGGGACATATACCTCTAATTATGAGGGACTTGGATTGTAATAAACCCCACGTAACTCGAATGCTGTCCCCGCCAAAGCAAACCTCTTATCTTAGCTCTCGTTTGACCCCCATTATTCCACATTATGATGAGAGAAACAGTAATTTTTTGAAGAAAGTATAGTTAAAAAAAAAAAAAGAAGCTTTCGAGCTTGTGTAATATTATTTTATTAGAGAATGTGCGGTTGATAAGAAGAGAAAAATAAATAAATTATAATTTAATGAGGAATGATGGACGAACAATTTTAAATATCTTGTCATTCAGGATGCTGTCTCCAAAAACCCATACTATTTTAGACACAAACCCAAAAATTGGAAATTTTAATTCCAAGAAAAAAAATGCCCCCCAGATTTTCCTCTACAATTCTTTGTGTTGTTTTTAGATTTAAGTGGGAGAAAAATGCATATACAACTAATATAGAAAAGAAATAGAAAGAGAGAGACTAGAAACGACATATGTTGAATGAATTGAACTGGAATATGGATGGAATATAATCAAATAGAGTCACTTTGAGGTTTCCTCTTAAATGAGACATTAAAGAGAGTCATTTCGAGCCCACGTCGGTCATGGGTAGAGAAACTTTTACAAGTATTTTCTATTCTTGCATAAATCTAACCCAAACAACCTCTTACAACAAAGAAAATGGTGAATGTGCCGGACAATAATGTTGTTGCTGTTATCGATATGCTGCATTTTCCAGCGCAGCTACTGGAGTTGGTCAAGGCGTGTGAAGAGAACGGCTGCTTTAGGATTGTGAATTTTTAATATTTTACCAGTTCCACTAATGCCTCAAATAAAGGCGGTGGTGACTGAACTTTTCGAGCTTCCAAACAGCGTAATGTGGATGTAATTGTGGGCAGTGGGAAATCAACCCTATTCGTGAGGGCTTAGGGCTCTATGACATTGCATCTTCTCATGCTGTTGATGCCTTTTGTAATCAATTGGATGCAACTCCTCAGCGGCAGTTTGAACCCGTTTGTCATTAGCCTTTATTTTTCAATTCATGATCGAAATTTGCTACTTTTAACTATATGTGATTACAACCTTTTAAAATTGACTTGTAAGCGGAGGGTGACCAAGTACTTATAAGCCCATTTTTACGAGGATAATCAATTACCTTAAAATCAATAATTTTTTTACGCATCATCCAAAGTGGGTGTCTATAGTGTGCAGTTGCTGTTATATAACATTTTTTTATTTATACTTTCTCATAAATTTGAAGTCAATGATATAATACCATTATATTTATTTAAATCGCTAATCAATTGCTTCTTAATTCTAGGAAAAACAATCAATTGTATTGTATCATTACAAAGAGTATTTCTTACCCCTTTGTACCTTGGTTGAAGATAATTCATTTTCGAATGTTATGAAATGATTGTTGTCTACTATGTTCAGTGGCAACTTAGCACTGATAACGAATTTCACCATTCTATCACGAGTTCTTTCCTTCAAGTACATCTATGTGCTTAGTGTTGAAGAACAACTAGCGGAAGGACTATTAAAGGTTAGTTGTGTTTGAGATTGACCAACAAGTCCATGTTTGTTGTACATTTGGGATAGTAGCAGTTGGGGTGGGTAGTATTAATACCCTTTTGCCACACTAATCATATTTGACAATATTTACACACTGTCTTGCACTCTGTAATTCTATTGACAATATGATCTGTGATCAATTTAAAGTATTCCCAACACTTTGCAGATTTTTTCTTCCCTCTTGCATAGGGAATTTGTAGTTTAGTTTTGTTAACATCTTCATCTATATTATTCAAATCAATTGGACTATTACTTTCATGTGCATAGTCAACATCCATTCTTGGCAAATCGCCGGAGATGGGGATAAGGATGTCGTTGAGACTAACAAATTGACTAAAAAAGTGAGGTTATGGCGTTATAGGTGATTAGCGACCGAACCAACCCTCAATGAAATTTATTATGTATTTGAGTGTAGATTGTATGAAATGTATAAATTGGATAATGTATGATGTAGAATTGAGAGAATGTAGATAGAATTGAAATTTGAATGTAATAAAAATTATAGAATGTATGTCAATTATGTAATAATGAAGGGATGTGTATGTAATATAATTATAGAGAGTAAAAGAATTGTAAAAGAATTGAATAATATAAAAATTATTGTAGAATGTAGAGAGATTGTTGAATTTATTGTGGAAAAAAAAATGACGAAGTTTTGATATACTTATAGAAGAAAAATAAAACAAAAAAATAAAATTCTGAGACTGTTGGGAGGCTAACGATCTCATTTTAGAGTTTTGAACCCTTTTTCAAATGGTCACAAACTTTAAAAAGTGAACAAACAATCACTTTTTTTTTATTTTATAAGTGACCGTTTGGTCACTGATCTAGGCCAGCCTGGCTCCTGAGCGGGTTAAAACAATGTTGGCTCATGGGTGGCTTGTGGGCTCACTTATCAGTCAACAAGCACGGCTTGTGCTAGAACTCGTCACAATACAAGTTCGAGCCGTCATGGATTGAGCTTTTTCAAGTCAAGTCAATTAACTACTCGACTCAATTGTCACCGCTATATATGGTCCAGTCAAGTCAAGTCAATCAAATGTCTTAAATACATGCAATATTTTATTAGAAATAAATCAATTTATTTGTTTTTGCCTCTCAAACGATTTATAAAATAAATAAAAGAAAAAGAGAAAGAAAAGTTTAATCGTCAGATTTCGGAACATGTTCTGATGTTCTAAATTAGATTTCTAGAAGAATTAACCTATATGTACAATCATGATTAACTATTTTGATGTTGTCAAAATTCAGACAATTGATTTTAAAAATAATTTTTGAAATAGAGAATGTGAAGTTATCAAGTATAAATTGTCAATCAAAATTATCAAATAAAATTGTACAAATAGCAATATTTTTTTCATAATGACTTAAGTAAAATGAATATATGTGACTTCCCCGCTTCCCAAAAACTCTCCCTACATCTCCACCACTCTGTCTAATCCCTAATTGTCTAATATCTATCCT